AATTAATAATAATTGTTATTACTTAATAAATGTTGCAAAATCACGTAATTGTGCTGCAATCGGGCTATGCACATGAGGATGCAAATGATCCAAATGCGATGCGTGCCAATTGCAGCTGTACGCTAATCCGTTGCCGTGATAGCAGCAATATCATCGTGGACACCATGACCGCATGGGATGGCGAGCACTTAAAAACTCTGCTAGCTGGACAGGGATTGCAACCGGATGATATTGATGTGGTTGTATGTACACATGGACACTCGGATCATATTGGCTGCAATTATTTATTCCAGCAAGCGCGCTTACATATCGTCGGCTCGACAGCATCTAAGCATGATCTTTACACCGAGTATACCGGAGCTTTGGATACGCACGGAGAAGTTCTCTTGGAGAAGACACCTGGGCATACGTTGAGTTGTGCATCGGTTATCGTGCACAATAGTCAGTTTGATGGCTCCACTGTGGGTATATGCGGAGATCTCTTCGAGCGTTTCGAGGACATAGACGATGCCCAGATATGGAAAGCTGCTGGCAGTGAGGACGAAAAACAACAGGCGGAGCAACGATATCGCATAGCGCAATTATGCCAATATATAGTGCCCGGACATGGGAACATTTTCCAATTGAATGATGAAATGCGAAAGAAATTGAAAAATATTTGAAGTATTTGGAACGGAGTTTCTGGGGCCTGTTGATAAGATTACTTGTTTTGAGGAGCAAGCTGTGATATTAACATTATATGATGCCTTTTTTTTCCTATTTTATAGGCGCTTGTATGTTTAAATCAAATTTCGTCTTGCACTCGTTTCGTTACAAGTTTTTTTGGTCTCAAATTTTTTTACCGTTTAAGCGAAGCTATGTTTCATAAATCAATAAAGACATTGCCTATTTAAATGCGATATTGTTAGCAAAAAAGGTTTGGCTACTGCTTCAAAATTTCTCGTTCAGTTGCAGCGACAACATAAACGTTTTTGGCTGCTGCACTAAAAAATTACTACCGTACAAAAATCTATATATATATTTATATATATTGATATATAAATATATATATATATATAAGCAAAAGTATAAATATATATATAGCACTGGACGCCAACCAGCTCGAGACTGCAATAAGATCATCTAACGAAGCAAGTAATCGAATCTTTCGATATCGGTAAACAGGTTCAAATCTTTCGCATTAGTCAAAATTAAATAATTAAGAAAAACCAAAATCAAGTCGAAAGAAATAATAATACAAAAAAAACTGATAAAATACATTGCTATCCGCCAAAATTGCATAGGTGTATATATTTATATATATATATAGATATATATATACATATATTTATATATATATATATTTATATATATACATATCTATATATAAATATTAAGAAAGTAGAACTTAAATATGAGCCAGGCGTCAACAAGTGCTTTTAATACACAACGTAATCGCTATTATAATCCCGTCTCCCGGATCCAATCGTTGATACAAAATCTGGATGCTGAACTGATAACCTTATGCAAGCAATGTTCGCTGCCAAAGAATATATCGAATAGCAATAACCATTACGATAATATCATATCGCATCAAACGGGCAGCCAGCTTAAGCATGCGAGCCTCAACAATATTTTGGCACAAGCGCGCTCTGCTCAGCTCAGTAACTCGACGGGTGGGCTAGCCCCGGATGCGCACAAGCGTCAATTGCGCAACACCTATCGAACGCGCGTCATTGATGCCTATCGCAATCGTCGCATATTTACCGTTTACGGTAATTATCACACGGTGAGGCGAGCGCTGGTTAGACGAGGCTGGCTTGAGAAACTGCCAGCTGGTCGGCATGCCAAGCTGCAGAACATGTCGGAGGATTCGCTGTTGGAGCATGCCAGACGTGGCAACGACTATGAAGCAGTGGTCATATCGAAAATGATCAACAATTTCCCCTCGTTCTTCATATGGCAGAGCAAGGCACAACGCGATTTGTTTCCGGAGGTGAAACCGTTCCGGAATCGCGTCAGACGTAGCCAATTTCTAGACTTTTCCACGAAAGTGGGTCTGGTCGGTTGTGCGGAGCAGGAGCGCTGGTTTCGAGAAGATGGCGTCTGTGGCATGAGCTATCCCCGTTTTTATCGCCTTGGCGCCAACAGCATGGAGGAGCGTGCCGCATTCATTGAGGATTATCATCAGACGCAGGCGCGCTGCTTGCTGCGGTTTATCAAAGAGCACCGTCCTGCCGAATTGATCGATCTTGAGAATGGCGTTGTGATGAGCATTACGATAGACTTTGCATTGAACAAAGTGAAGGCAATGATCAGGCAGAAGGAACACTACTCGCTGGATGATGCGCGCATCAAGCTGCCAACGCCCACCGAAATGATCGAGAATCAATCGTTTATGGTACAATCCTCCAAGGTACTCCATTCCGGTGCCAAATTCAAAATCAACGAGAAGGTCATGGCGGAGTATGCGCGACTAGCTGGCCAATATCTTGAACAAATTGAATCGCTACGAAACGACTATCGCTGGGATGGTTGCCGTAATTTGTGGATCTTGAAGCCTGGTTATCAATCGCGCGGTATTGGAATTGTCATACGTAGCTCCCTGGACGACATCTTACAATGGACATCAAACAATCAGAACCGCAAATATATCGTGCAGAAGTATATTGGTAAGTGTAAGAGCAGCCCCTCTCTGGGAAGTCATATTATTCTTCTACTATCGATAAAAATCGATAGTTTTTTAGTTTATGGTTAACACAAGATCTGTTTCAGCTAGAGATTTTAAATTATATAAGGTAACTCATGCTGAAATATTTAAATATTCTCTTTTCTCTCTGGTTGTAGAGCGTCCATATCTGATCTATCGCACCAAGTTCGACATACGGCAGTATATGCTGCTTACGATCAGCGATACGCAGGTAACGATATGGACATATCGCGATTGCTATTTGCGGTTCAGCTCCCAGGAGTTCACAATGGATGACCTGCGCGAATCGATACACCTGACGAACAACTCCGTGCAGAAACGCTACAAGAACAAAGTGAATCGGGATGCGCGTCTGCCGAAGAACAACATGTGGTCGCTGGATCAATTCAAATGCCATTTGCGACACGTTGGGGCACCGGACGGTACATGGCAAAAGATCTACAATGGCTTCAAACAGAATCTGGTCGCGGTGGTCTTAGCCAGTTTGGATGAAACGGAATTGGTGCCGAATGCATTTGAATTATATGGCTGTGATTTCATGATCGATGAGCACTTTAATCCCATATTGATTGAGATCAATTCGACGCCAGATTTGTCGGCCTCAACGGAGGTGACGGCCAGAATATGCCCATTGGTACTAAAGGATTGCATTCGCGTCGTTCTGGATGTGCCCCGCAACTCCTTGGCCGCCACGGGACTCTTCGAGCGCGCCTTTCAGGTCAATTATAATGTCAACAAGGAGGTAGATGGTACGCGCCCACTGGAGCTCAATGGCACCCAGATGAAACTGCTTGACACCATGCCGAAGATACGAAACAGCCCGAGGACGCGACTGCTACGCAAAATTCTGAACAATGTCCGAGCGACGACAAGCAACAAATTCGGCAGGGACAAAAACAAAACCGCAACGCAGACACCAGCCAAAGTCATCGTGGGCAAAGTGGGCACGAAAGTAAGACCATAAAACTTGTAACGTCTGCATATACATATAATTACAGTTGTACAGGATTTAAATACAATATATTGACTTGTGCAATGTCTGTCCGCCTGTCCATTAGCTTTAAGACCGCTAGTGAAACTTGAGAGTTGGGATTTGGAGCATAGACACTTTGGTAACTCCTTATATAGCGTAAAGAGTTTTTCGTGAAATATTATTATGTGCCTAAAGGATTTGAATGAAATTTCGATCAAAAAGATTTAATATGATATGCATAATATTATATGGGATATCTAGATTAATATCGTTGGGGGTGTGACTTAGAGAAATACCACTTAAAATCGAAGTATTTTCGAGTTTTATCTAGTTCAACTGCTGCATTCTAACCTATTTCATTTATATATCTGATATTATTCCCATAGAAATTATCTCAAGCGGGCTCGAAGATGATGAATACCAGCGCGAAAGTTGCGTTAAATTCGAAAGCTCGTGAAAATTTGGCCTTACAATATACAGCACCCAAATGAGAAATGAAAGAGTCTGGTACGTACATCTATAGCATTATCTTGATATATAACTACTAACTAATATATGTATGTATACAAATAAATCGCAGTGTAGATAGCCAAGTCAAGATTAACTTTGCTGCAACCCCCAGAAACTATTCGAGCTGCTAACGATTGACTTAAAAAAAAAATATACCACAATAACTTATATAACAATTTATTGAACTGCTTTGAGATATCTATGAATA